ATACCCAGTAGAGCTGCACCCCCCTCCCCTCTGTCATATGGCAGAACTCCATATTGAATGCTTGATAATAATTATTGCCGAAAATAACTGCATAACATGTCTTTGTCATTATATGGTTTGTTACTTTGTTTGTTTACAGGATCTCCAAGCGTTGGCCAAGGAAACCCCGTCTATTGACATCGTAAAATTAGGTAAAAATTAAGATAAACCAAAGATGAAACTAAGAAAACAACCTAGATAGTATAAATAAACCTGCATCGCTTGCACTGTACTAAGACTTTATTGCTACAGTCAAGTTTAGAGGGGAAATATCCAGTTTTGATAATCGTTTTCAGATTTACCAGATTCTTCATTAAAAAAAATCAAATAAACAGATATCTCATTTTCCTTGTGAGCCACTTTCCTTTCCCCTAATTTCTTATAAAAGTATGTTATTTATATAATTATTTGTACCATAGATGTAACCGATTACGCCACTCTCCGCAACACTGTGGTTCCCCATGTGCAGAGTAAAGTTGGAGATATTGGCTTAAATCTTCTCATCAACAATGCCGGGGTTTTAAAACCAGACGAACTGGCCAAAGTCACAACCGAAGCAATGAGAGAGGTGTACGAGGTGAACACCATAGCTCCCGTTATGATTACACAGGTAGGGTGATGAGCACATTCAATATTTTTTTCTTTTGGGCACTTTGAGTATTTAATTATTTTACGCGCTTGACTAATGCTCTGCATGTAAGAACTGAAGTACGTTAGCGTACTTATAAATACTTTTAGATTAAAATATTAAGATGCGTATTAAAAAAAAATGAATGATTTAACATTAATGTTGCATCAAAGTTCTAATCAATGAATGTTTACCCCTTAAATAATCCACCTTGGCTTCCTTTTGTTATTCAGGCGTTTCTACCCCTACTGAAGGCAGCCAGTGCACGCACCACGGGAGGACTCAGCTGCTCCCGGGCAGCCGTTATAAATATCACTAGTAAAGCGGGTTCTTGCGGAGACAACACAAACGGAAAATACTATTCGTACAGGTGTAGCAAGGTAAGACTATATCTCTAACACATAGCTTTTAAAGTAGACTATGTTCTTTTGCATGACTTTTGCAAGTGCACCTGTTTAAAGCAGGGGAATATACGCCCCTGAGACGACAGGGCTACCCTCTACCAGGACCACAGATTGATTTTTCACAATATATTCACAGGTATGTCTTAAGATAAAAAGACGGTCATTTGGCTCTCTGTCACCCTGTGATGAAATGTCTTTTGTGACAGATGAAAATCAGGGGCGGATCTAGAGATATTTTCTGACAGTCTTCCAAACTATCTTTGTTATCCATCTTCCATTTTTGACCGTCTTCCGACTTAAAAAATGGATACATGTCAATGTAAACTTGAAAATCTGACCGTCTTCCGAAAGACCCAGAAGACTGCCTCAATCCGCCCCTGAAAATAGCCCCTTCTGAAAGGGTTGTTACTCCAGATTGAAGTTAACTGAGGAATCCCCTGTAGTAGCTCCCTACAGAGCGGATACAATGCTATCTGCGGGCACGCAGATTTAATTGCTTCCATCTGGCCAAAAGTTACAGGGTGGAAATGTGGAAAATCTGCCACCCTGGCAGAGGGTGCAACGGGACAAGAAAGACGATTACTGTGGATTTTTTTTTTTTTTTTTTTTTTTTTTTTTTTTTTTTTTTTTTT